GGACTAAGATTGAACCTAGAAGAAGAATTAAAACACATTACAGAGGCTCTGTTAGTCACCGGAGTTGGAGACGACAAATAGAAACGGACGACGGCTCTCAAAGGAAGAGAGCCGGCTTACCAAAAGAGGGAGCAGGCTCTAGGGCTTGAGGAGCCGGCTCTACAAGGGGTAGAGCCGGCTCCACATGAAGTGGAGGCGGCTCCACTAAGGGGGGAGCCAGCTCCAATTTTCTGGAGGCGGCTCCAACCTCTTTTATTGGGTTTTTCAGTGGTTTTGGGTCCAGTTTGGTCTGTAGAAAGGTTTCTGGGTTGTTTCAATGGGTGTGGGTGATTTTTATAACTGTTTCAGAGATGTAAAAACTGTTTGGAAGCATTAAATGTTATTGTGTTGAAACAGGAAACAACTTAAGGATTAAACAATGAAACTGTATATGAAAGATTGGTTAATTAATCTTAAAACTGCTTACTACTTTGAGCAAATTTTGTTTCTTCTGCATGATTTAAAATTATCAATCATGTCTCAGCTGTGTTACAAGTATATAGTTATTTATCTGGAAACCTAAGCATGTTTAGTTGAAATTAATTGATGGTGACCTCTTTTGATTATTGCATGAATTGTGGTATTGTTTGGAGGAAATAAATGTGCAGCCTTATTTCACTTATATAAAGACTAGAATGTGATTTCTAAATCTTACTGAATGTATTAATTGGCCATATACATGTTGGACTATATTTATGCTAAATCTAGAATATGGTTGACTAGTATGTATTACTGTTTTGTCAACTATGTTGGCTGGAGGATTGTATGCACCGGTATGGGACGGTGACATGTTGGGGACGGCTTAGTCAAAACACTAAGACCTACCTATATTGGGGATGGATTAGTTCAAACACTAAGTCCTACCTATTCTGAAATAAGATGGATTAACTACTAAAAGTTAAGTCCTACTTATAACTATGTGTCAGGTCAATAAACCATTTGAATGACACACCTTGAACGGACTTTATATATTTATGTTATGGTGTCATAGTATGAGCTTGAGTCTCAGGACCATGGTTAGGATGCATATATCGCCTAGGATAGATAACTGGATAGTGGGTTTTGTTCCCTGGTAGGTCCAGATACACATGACCATATTACGTGCGATTTGCATGGTATCTCTACTCAGGCTGAGACATACCTATTGGACTAACGAGCGTCCTATAGTGTGTACTATATATACATATGTGGACTACTCTAGATATTATTGAGTCTTTCTAGGATGTATCTGCGTATCGGATTCCTATTTGGATTGTAGTAGATTAGGACTTGCGTGTGGGCTTGACGCACTCTTTATTTTTCAGGTGTTCGTCAGTTCCAGAGTTAAAGCTTGGACATGCAGAGCAGATACAGACACTCATTCCTCCGACTACGTATGAATCTTTTCTATGTTTAGTATTAGATTAATTTCAGTTGAGATTTTAACAAGGGGTCCACTGGATGGATTCCCGAGTTATTAAACTTATGGAATTTGGATTATCGAATTTTAATAATTTTGATTTGAGGATTTTTATTTTAGTTTCTTTCAGCTTATAATGTTTATTTCTTAAATCATTTTCGTATTCCGTTTTCGTTTTAACATATTGATTGTTTAATATTCCTTCGAGTTTGGGTCTGGGCCTGATCAACCCGCGTCTCGGATCCGAGGGGTATCACACTTATGGGCTGTCCTCAGCCTAGATCTATATACTTCTTCCGACTCTTGATCGTCTTCTGATCTCCCATGTATTACATGGATGACATTTACCTGACTACCTTCTACTTTCCGAGGATTGGCCTCCCTAAGCTTCACGTACTCCTTTGTTATGAGGTAGTCTGCTAGCTCACCCCTGATTATCATATTCTCCTCCACTTACCGACTAAGGGATCTGCAATCATTGGTTGTATGCCCATAATCTCTATGGTAGGCGAGCGCAGTGCTTGTTCTTGTCCCTCTGCTCCAAGGGTTGCTTCATTGGCTGAGGGGCTGGGAATTTCATCTTGCTTTCTTGGAATAGCCAAGCTAAGGTGGTGCGAAGAGGTGTGAATTTTTCCTCTGTCCTTTGCCTCTTCTCGGGTACCTGAGTGACCAGTGCTGAGGCGTGCTAGCTTTTATGACTTTTTGAATTTGACACCCTTTCCCGAGGCTTATTCTCCACTGTGACGAGGGTGGCATGCTGCGCTCAGTGGGCTACATTCTCCCCAAGTCAGATGTAGATCTGCGCCCTAGCATTGAGAGTCTGCATATCCGGAGGGGAATATTTGACTAGGGAGGTATGGAACTTGGTTCCCTGAATCATTGCAAGCTTGAACGTTTCTATTGCAGTCGCAGGATGGCAATCTGCTATTTCCGAGGCCTCCATGTTAAACCTGGACAAGAAATCCTGTAACGTTTCTCCTTTCTTTTGCCTGATAGTGAAAAGGCTAGCAATATTCTTCTTTTGCTTCTTATTTCCACAGTACTGTGCTAGGAACATAGTGCAAAGAGTTTCGTAGTTCGGGATAGACTTGTATGGCCTGTTTCTGAACCATTCCAACGCAGTTCCTGTTAGGCTAGTCGGAAAAACCTTACACTTGAACGGGTCATTATGATCGTCCAGAGCCATCTTTTGTGCATAGTGATCGAGGTGACGAGAAGGATCTCCCGTACCATCGAACTGGGTAAAGGAAGGCAAATTGAATTTTTTCAATCTGTCGACAAGGTATATATCATCGGTGAATGGAGTCTTCACTAGTGAGTTCTTATGCTCTCTGGCTATCTCGGAAAGCGTCTGAATCCTTAGGAGTCTTTTTTTGTCAAAGGCCTCCTGTACGCCTGCGCCATCTGGAATGCCATTGGACCATACCGTAAACTTACGACTAGACTCGACTTGTTCGTCCTGCGTGTGACGAGGAAGATTATCTGAAGCAACTACCTTGGACCTTGTCCTCTGCTCTTGCTGAACTTCGTTGGGTCGAGCCTCATTAGGTTGCGCCCCATTGACCTGAGGCTCGTTAACTGGAGGAGCGTTTTGGTTTGGGGGAGGTGCGGCCACATCAACTGGTGGCGGTTGTGGTTTTAACTGAGCCATCGCCGTTTGAAGGGTGTCGTTTTGCTGTTGAAGCAAAGCAATCTAGGCTATGCCAGCTTCGTTTGCCTGACGAAACGTTTCGAACTAATGCAAGAATTCTTCTCGCATCTTTTGCATCAACTCTATCTGTTGATCAGCCGTTGTTGCAGATTTTCCATTTGACATTCTATATCGTAATAACAGAAATGGTTTGAAATAATAGTGGGAGTATATTTCTATACGTTTCTTACAGACGGCGCCAAAGTGTAGGTGTAAAATTTCTCTCTATTAAAAGAAATAAAAAGAAAAATACAACTCACTCAAAACAAGTAATTATAATACTCAGAGAAAAGCGTATATTGCTCGATCTTTTTATTGGAGGTCTATGCCTCTATTTATATGAAACAAGGTGGTGGAATTATGGTAGGACTTTCCTTACTTGTCCTCCAATTCATTCCATATACAGAATTTTTTACAATTAGAATTCTTTCCTTTTTACAATTCTTTCCATGCTAAACTTTCCTTGCACAGAACTTGCCTTCTTTGTTGAATCCTTTGTCTGGCAGGACTAGTCCGTCTTTAAATGAAGTTGGGCTGAATGTAGCTTGGTCCAGATGACTCAGCCAATGGGCCGGAAGTTCAACATTAGCGACCCTGGGCTGTTGACGTCTTTATCGGGCCTGAATAGGGCTGGATTCTTGCACCCATTAAAAAAAATAAAAAATAAAAAAAGCTTCAATTATAGCCACGTGGATAACCTTCATTGGAGGGGGATTTTTCCCTCCACAATCATATTAAACCAAATATTTAAATTATCAAAATGATTTTAACAACAAAAAATAATTACATTTTTAATAAGAAAATAACTCTACCCTTACAAAGAAAACTCTAGTAATTCATTTTTAGTCTATTGTATATTACCTTATTCAACCTTTCAGTAGCATCTCACATCCAAATATAAAAAAAAAAAAAATGTGTGTATTTTAATGAATAAAATACTTGGGTTACAATTACATGATTATTTTTTATTCAAATTAATTGAGAATATAGTTTTTTTTTTTCTTTCTTTTCAAAAAGATATTATAATGAATTAAGGCAAGTTAAATTGAATTATATATAAAGGAAGAAAAGAATTAAAAGTACACAAGAATCTGTTTTAACAAAATTAAAGCACTTTAGGTCACCCGGTTGCTTTTATTCCAACCAAAAGCAAAATCCAATGACGACATATAGTCTAAATTCATGTTGTTTGTCCGAATAATTATATGTGGTCTATTCAACTAAAAAAATAGTACGTGGTCCATTTTGCTTTTACTTTTTCTTTAGAATCAATTTCACAAAAATATATCTGAAGTTAATTCTCATATATAAGTAATTTTGGAGAATAACAATACTCTTCATGAAATCTTTAGGGAGACACCTATCCGAATACTTTTTTTATTTTTTTAAGCATTATCCATGACTATTTTAGTTCAACCTAACTCCAATACAAGACGTATACCTTGAAACTATTTGATTAGAGCAACCATATATTAAGCATATATTTGTCAAATAGAAGGGGAAATTTTTTTTTAAAGTAAACCATTATCAAAGCTTAAAACATCCCATGCAGAAATATTTTTTAATAAATAAAATCACCCATACATGCATTAACATGCTCTGTTAATTAAATTTATTTTAATTATATGTATGCTTCCTCATTCGACTCTCAAGGACATTTCATCAACAAAAAAGGGCACATACTTTGCTTTGCTTCATGAAAATAAATATTTAGCCACATGCATGATGCCTTACTTCTATTAATATATTGCTTTTGATAAAGTTCTAAAATACTTTGCTTGCTTTATAGAACTGAATAATTCTAACACTCCATGTCTATATATATAGCAGTTTAGAGGAAGGGATTCTATATTCTAACTCTACTACTTTGTCATATTGGTGTCAATTGATAGTTCAACACACCTTATTCAACGTGCATGTGAGAGAGTGATTCTCTAAAACTTTCACCCACATTAGTGGCTTCCTCAAACCCTGCATCGTCTGTAAAGTACCCATATCCAGCTCTACATTCAAGCTCGAGTACACCTAAGAGATCCGCCTCTTAAACTTTCACATACTCCCAGTCTTTGCCTTCCAATATTAATATGGCTTCTTCCTCAAACTCTGAAATATTGTCTTCTGCAAAGAAGTACCCATATCCAGAAGAGGTTGACGTGAGGCATTTTGTCAATGTCATTCTCTCTAGACAAAACTACTTTGTGTGGAAAAAGAAGATGCTTCATTTTTTTGGGCGGCAAGGTTTGGTTGGTTTCATCAATGGTGAAGTTGTGGCACCACCAGAAAAGATCACAATACCAAATGATGATGATGTTAATTAACTCTCCCACGGGCACAAGGGAGATCGAGGACCAGGATTACGAGGACTGGAAAAGATCGGATGAATTGTTACAAAGATGGATAACAGAGACAATTAGTGAAGATGTTCTTCCGCATGTGGTGTGCTTGAAAACTGCTCAAGATATGTGGTCAAAGTTAATTACCCTGCATGAAACAAAAATAGGTATGTATGGTCATGACTTAATTAATTATGTGAATGATTACATACGTATATATGGTTGATTAATTTACATGTAAGTATGAGTAGTACTTCAACCTAGCATATCCATCATTAATTGATTAATTTTTCTCGAACTTATCCTATTTTTGCAGAGTACCCACACCCAGCAGAGATCAATGTGAGGGACTTTGTTCAAATCAAGCTCTCTAAATTAGATAACTATTTTAGGTGGAAGTCATTGATGATTGGTCTTATTAAGAATCAAGGCATGTTTGGTTTCATAAGTGGTGAGGTTTCAGCACCACCTGAAACGATTAGAGTACCAGTTGATGATGATGACGATAGCTTCTACTTTCGCACCAAGGAGATAGAGAACCCGGATTATCAGGATTGGAAAAGATCCGACGAGCTCTTGCAAAGATGGATAAAGCAAACCATCAATGAAGATGTTCTTCCAAATGTGGTGCGGTGGAAAACTGCTAAAGATATGTGGTCACAGTTGGTTATCCTGGGTGAAAGAAAAATGGGTAAGATAGCTTCCATGATTAATTGTTTGGATGTTTTAATTTAAATTAATTATTTGGATGTTTTAATTTAAATTAATTTACACATATATGTAGTGCGTACTTCAAGTTTTCAACTTAGGTAGCTAGCTTCCACGATTAATTGGTTAAATTAATTCTCAAGCTCTTCCTCTCTTTTTAATTTGCAGAGTACCCAAAAGATATCAAAGTCACGGAAGTTGTTCCCATCAAGCTCTCTAGTAGTACCCATAACTACTCTAGTTGGAAAACGCAGATGCTTCATTTTATTGAGAGTCAGGGCATGCTTGGTTTCATCAATGGTGAGGCTTCAAAACCAACACCTTCTGACGAAAGCAGCAGCAACAATGAATGGAGAAAATCAGACGAGAAGTTGCAAAGATGGATCAAGGAAACGATCAATGAAGATATCCGCCAAGACTTGGTACTGCTTGAAACATCAAAAGATATATGGGAAAGGTTAATTATCATGCATGAAACTAATATGGGTACGGAAGTTCTTTACTTAATTATATTCCAACCTTAATTCCATCAATGACGTCTTAATATATTTCTTAAACTCTTCCTCTTTTAATTTAATTGCAGTTTACCCATACCCAATAGAGGTGAACGTGTGCGACTTTGTTCCCTTCAAGCTTTCCAATAGCAACTATCGTGAGTGGAGATGTCTGATGCGTCGTCTTATTGAGAATCAAGGATTGATCGGTTTCATTTTGCCACCAAATATCCCAAGAATAGATTCCTTGGCGTGGAAAAGAACAGATGGGTTGTTGCAAAGTTGGATAATAAGGACAATCAATGAAAGCTTCCTTCCAAGTTTTTTGAATTTGGAAACTGCGAGTGATATGTGGACAAAGTTTGAGATACTGTTCGATTCAAAAACTCTAATTGGTAAGGTTACTCGGGTCATCACATTGTTCAGTAAAATAAAGAATTTTCAGTAGGTGTGTTTGATTGATAATCTAGTTAATTAATTATCGTAGTCCAACAAATAATTTCCCTCATTTAATGTGTAAATGGGTAAATACATATAGACTAATTAATTCATTTTGATAACATGCAAAACTGATGTGCTTCAATTAATTAATCTTGTGTAGAAAACCCATACCCAGTAGGCAGTAGAGGTTAACGTGGGGGACTATGTTCCTGTCAAGCTCTCTAGAGAAAACTACTCTATGTGGTCAAAATTGATGCGTCGTCTTATTAATAGACAAGGCTTGCGTGATTTCATCAATGGCACAATTCCGAAACCAAAGCAGTCATTAGAGAACAAGAGTACGAGCGAGGCATGGAAAAGAACAGACGGACTATTACAAAGCTGGATAATGGGAACGATCGATCAAAAAGATGTTCTTGCATGTGTGGTGGATTTGGAAACTGCCCATGATATGTGGACTAAGTTAGAAAAAGTGTTTGATCCCTTGAAAAGAAGTGAAACAAGCAAGCCCACTCTCCTGCACCACATATATAGATAATTTATTATTATTATTATATTTATTTCCTCTTAGTTTATGAAAATGCTTTATTTATTTATTATACACGTACCCACTTTATAAATTATTTATGTTTGTTGAATTTGAATGAAAGTGAAAAACAAAGAAGGCGAAGAAAAAGATGTAGGGTTTTACCGGCCACTGCATAGAGCTACACTGAAAGGTGAGTGGGAGAAAGCCAAAGAATTCTTGGAAAAACACCAAGATGCAGTGAGTGCGGACATCACCGGAGAGGGGGATACAGTACTGATGGTAGCAGTTAGGTCTGAGAAGAGATATCATTTTGTTAAGTATCTGTTGGAGTTTATGAGTGCGTCATCACATGTGGATTTGACTAAAACTAATGACAAAGGGAGACATGTCTTCATTTAGCAGCATCAGCTAACAACCTTGAGGTAGCCAAGTTGTTAGTGGCCAAGGACCAACATCTGCCCAATATTTATTATGAGGATGATTTTCTACCTCTCCACGTAGCTGCTTTACTTGGCTACAAGAATATGGTTCTTTACTTAATGGACGTCACCGGAAAAGACGGCGACGTTGGAGGCTATGGGCCTATTTTTGTTGGTGCTTTGTCAATTCGTGGTCTATACGGTGAGTATAATTTTTATTTTTATAATAAACAGAAATAGAAAATGCAATATGAAATACTGTAATAGTACGTTAACCTTTTCTTTCCTCTCTCTTTAACAGACATTGCTCTGCTAGTCCTTCAGCGCTAGGGTGCTTTAATTGCAAAGGAAGGAAACCTGTTGGAAGTAATTGCTATGCAAAATTCTGCATTCAAGAGTGGAACAAAATTCAACTTTTGCCAAAGATTAATCTACTTTTGTTAGTCTAATCTATCCTTTCTCTCTCTTCTTCATCTATGGATTTTTTGGCAAGGATCAATCTTTTTTAGGAATGTAAATCAGCACATATATTCCTTAAAATCTAGGAATCAATATTACTAAGTAAATTTAACCAAAAAAATATTACTAGGTAAATTTAGCACACTTAATCTAGGTTTTTCTTTTTTAAATAGTCTTGTGGAGTTGGAAGAGTCTATATACAGTAGAGACATTAACTGCTTACTGTTTTCTAATCTAGGTGTTCCTACGAAGTTGGAAGAGTCTACATGCCATTGTAGTTGAGAATCCTACCCATTGCTGCATTTCTGGTCTGTTTAAATCCAATAATTCTATCTCTATTTGATATATTGTTTTTTCTTTTCTTTATTTTTTATTTTTTATGGGGATATTGGTAAGACTTGAAATGTTATTTCCACCTTTCCATGTTAGCTTATACTACAATTCTACAACGTTTTTAGCCTAACCAATTATCAATTCAAAATTATTCTCTCTAGTCCATAATAAAATGTCTTATCTTTTTTTTTTTTTTCTAACAACGTTTTTAACCTAACCAATAATCAATTCAAAATTATTCTCTCTAGTCCATAATAAAATGTCTATCTTTCCTTTTATTATGCCTCAAATATATATATATATTACTTGGGTGCCAGCCCCGTGACTTTCATTTCTTCTGCAACACTGGTCGGGAACTGGAGCCGTTCCCTTGATGAGGCCAAGGCAGGCCGAAACCAGTCATTTCTCTTCCGAGCACAAGATTACCAGATCCTGTTCCGGATGGCTAGATCATCTTGTGAGTCGACGATCTTCTTTTTGTTAAATGGAATCAAAGCCAAGTGGCGATCAATCAATGCCCATTTCAGCTGTGAAGATGATGAGTTTTATGGTTGCCGAGAAAGTGGTGGAATCAGTGATTTTTTTCCAATCCGACGATCCAAACAGTAAGACCCGAGCCAAACAGTAAGACCCAGTGAGACCTGAGCGGAACGGCATGAGCGGATGATTGCAGGGAAGGAAATCAGACAAACCACGAGGTAGCCGAATAGATGAATGTTTCATCGATGCTGATGTCAGGCGTGACGGTTGCTCTTGTCACATCCATATATATATATATATATTGAAGTAAAAATTGATAATCCTAAGTTATCTAACGATTAAACGCTTTTTCAGATTAATAATATAAAATATTAAATTAGGGAGTTATGTTTGTAACTTTTAGAGAATCCATGTGCCCTTAAAAAGTTGAAAACTCTAAAATGAAATTTTAATTTATTTTAGAATCTAGTAGGGGAGTATGATAACCAATTATAATGGTAATACCGTAGAAGTTGTTTTAGGGGCCAAGAATTTTAGGACTAATCAATTTTAATTCAGGTTGGACAACGGTTGTTTGTATGATATTTTATTTGATATAAAAAATAATAACATAAATAATATTTTTATTCATGGCATGTGACATCTAAAAATTAATGGATAGACGTTTTAGTGGTGGCATTGATATTATCAAGTACAAAAAAAAAAAAAAAAAAAAAATTGAAGAAAAAAATCAAGGATCGTTTAATTTGTACTCTTCTTAAACTTCTCTTTGATTTTGACTTGTTTAGTTTTGTTGTATAAGTGTGAAGAAGTATTTTTATTTTATTTTATTATTATTATTATTATTATTATTTATTTATATATATATATATATTTGGCAGGTACAATTAAGCAAAAGTTGTTGGGTGTATTTTGGAAAGTTGCTGAAATGCTAGGTAAGGAACGGATAAATACGCAAAACAAGTTTTTATGTTCAAAGACATTTACTGCATCCTGCTAAATTATTCGATCGCCTTAAAACAGTGCCATGGATCAAGCACGTCCGAGGGATAAAATGGAAGCATGATCACGCAATTCAACTTGTCAGACATCTTTGCATGGAATATGAAAAATTAGATTTTTCAGAAGCCAGATATATGGTTGGAAGATCAGTAATTGCCGCAACAACTTTTGGGATTCCTGAAGTTGTTGAAGAGATCGTTTCAATATTCCCTGAAGCAATATATAGCAAAAACGAAGAGGGACAAAATTTATTTCAAATTGCAATTTTGAAGCGTCAAAGAGACGTATCCAAACTTATTTATCAACTTTCTGACTAGTCTGTTATCAATTCTCTTTTAACATGGCCTGATTCATCCGGCAACAGTAGTCTGGATCTAGTTGCATGTTTAAAAAATGAGCAAAGTAGCAAACTCAAAGCTGATGCAGCTGGTGCAACTCTACAAATAATATGCATTGTGATACTAATTTTCTTCATTTTCTCATTTACAATACATGTGTCTTATTAAATTTGATTTGATTTATTTATATTTTATACTTGAACTTTTTCTAAAATCCTATTACTCTGCCACCATTTTTTTGTTATTATTTTTTTTTTTGTAAAATCTCTTAAATGGGGTAAATTAAAGATTGTTGCTTGTTTAATCTCTCCCTAAAATTGTTTATTGATTCTCTAATATATTATCTTTTATTAATACGTCGGACTTCTTGAACGTGGGTTCACCACAAATTTTCTAAAATCGTCTCTAACATTTCCATTTGCAAAAAAATAAAAATAAAAATAAAAAATAATAATAATAATAATAAAGAAGAAAAAAACTATGATCAACTAATCATATCAAATATAAAAATTCACAATTTTATTTTTTTTAATTTTAAAAATTAAGAGTACAATTGAGTCTTCCTGGAAAATTTTAAACTTTTAATATGTTATCTTCATAATAATTAAAGAAAAGTATTTATTGGAAGAAAAAAAAAATCAAAAATGCATGGCTGTATGAACAATTTTTTATAAAAATATTATTTAACATTAAAGTTATTTTGTTCCTTATAATATTTTAAAATCTTTTCCTTATACTACTTTTCTTAACGACCCCATCCAAATTATTTTTGGACAGCATCACTTGTTTAATATCATTTAAATTTTTTTTTTTTTTTTTTTAGTGTCATTCCCAAAAAAACACACCTACTTTGTCTCAAATCCTCAACATCCACTTTAAGAAATAGAGGAGATACAATTAGGCCACAAAACCCTTGATGACAAGCGAATGGTATATAAATTTATTTTCCATTTATTATTATTTTATATATATATATGAGTTTGATTAAGGAACAAAAAGAAGAATTCATAAATTCAAATTCCTTTATTTTTCCTAAAAAAAATATATAATTTTAAATTTTCTTTACACCACCCCCATATTGAACTCTCAATTTCTAAAACAGGTCAAATTTGCTTTCTAATCGAAAACTATTCAATTTATTGCAGGAAGTAGAAAATATTTCATTTATGTGTGAGAGCAAGTTTGAAATTGGAAGAAAAACACTTGCAATGATCTTTTCTGAGACACATGAGGACTTATTGAAAGAAGGAGAAAAATGGTTAAAAGACACTGCTAATTCGTGCACAATTGTAACAGTTCTTGTTGTCACCATAGTATTTTCCGCTGTTATTACAGTACCAGGTGGAAGTGATGACAAGAGTGGCCTCCCAATTCTTTCGAGAGATAAAGCCTTTGTAATCTTTATGATAGCAGATGTGCTAGCTTTTTTTTTGTTTACTTCATCTCTATTGATGTTCTTGTCCATTCTTACTTTGCGTTACGCAGAGATTGATTTTCTCTACACTTTGTCTAAAAGATTAATTTATGGTCTCGTAACTCTGTTCGTCACTATAGCGTCTATGATGGTAGCCTTTGGAGCCACAATCCACCTTTAATTTTAGACAGAAGACAACATGGATTCTTGCTCCTGTAAGTGTTTTTTCTACTATACCCGTGATATTGTTTGCATCCTGGCAATTTCCTCTCCTTTGGGATATGACTAAATCTATCTATGGTGAGGGCATTTTTGACAAAAGACATTGATGGTTTGCCCGTTTCCTAGATCAAGTAGACAGAGGAAGTAGTTTTATTTTTATCTCATCTAATATGTATGATAACATTCTGTTGTCTATAATATTGTTATGACAAGGATTTAAGATTATTTGATTTGATATTTCTAATATTTACCCTCATTCGACTGTCCATGACGTGTAAATTAATAATTTCTTATGTTGTTTCATATTTTCGTTTTCAAGGTAATCGAACAAAAAAATAATAATCTCTTCCCTCCATATTCCATCAACTTTTGTGTATATAAATCAAAACCCCTTAATTTGTACATGACCACATGTATGTCCCACACAAGCAAATCCAAGTTCGTGGTGGAGGACTGTAGACGTGGGTGTTAATAAGGTGATGAAATATAAAGTGAATTCATAGTTTTTTCAGCATGCCCCTAAGTTGTGCCACTCTGAATTATTATTTTTTTTTTATTTTTATTTATTTTATTTTATTTTTGCTTCTCCCCAATTTATATTGAATCTACCCATCTCCTATTGTACAAACTATTAAATCCCAAGAAAGGACAAGGAAACTACCTCAATCAAATTCATGTTTAACTAGAAATGCAGGGCACTATCTGTTTAAATTTTTGAAATATGAAATCACGTAAAAAATTTAATGAGGAATAAAATCAAGCACTTTTTTAAATTTAAATTTTAGAAAATAGTTTACATAAAAACTATCAATCATTGGATTTTTTTTTTTTTTTTTTTTTGATTTTTTATTTTCACGATGTGAGAACACGCGTCACGATACGAACTTGGTGATAAGACAAATCTAAAACAAAAATTAGTACATTATACCTCATATGTCAAAAATTAATAATTTTTATTTATTTTAAAATTCCAGCATGTGGACCTTGTGTGAGTGCCTCACTCGACTGAGCCTTCAACCTGCAACCAAATTTAAATTTTTCCCTTTAGTGAAAGGCTCTAATTCCGTAAATGTTTCTCTTTCCTGTTTATTATTGCTTGGATTTACCATTTTTTTCAAATTTAATAAAGTTAGTTTGGAATTTTGGGAGATTTCATGTGCTGACACTTGAAAGCTACGTAAACTCAACATTTTTCTAACTACTTAGAGTGGGTTACATAAATCTTAATTTCAATTCCATTCTATGCAAGTCTGTAAATTCAATCAAACCACGTGTACCCTCTTTGTGCCCAATTTTACTCTTTCTAACTGTCCCACTTATCATTCTAAGCTTCTTCGTACACAAGCAAACCATCTTAATTAATCAATTTTCTCTCAATTTATCTGGTGATACTCTAACAATTTCATTGATGGAAACATCATCAATGCTCAAGATACAATTAAAAAATCACTAATAACAGCAACAACTTCGGGATTCCTGTAATAGTTGAAGAGATCATTTCAATATTTCTTGACGGAATTTTTCTTAGAAGCAACGAGAAACAAAGATTATATCATATTGTAGTTTTGAACCGTCAGACAAATGTATTCAAACTCTTTTGTCAACTTATTGACAAATTTACTTTGCTTTGTATTTTATCATTGTCGGATTTATCGAGCAAGACTTGTCTGGACATGGTTGCCTGCTTGAAAAGTGAGCAAGGATTGAAACTCAAAGCTGATGCAACCGGTCTAGCTCTACAAATGCAACTTGAATTGCAATGGTTTCAGGTAATTATTATTTTTTTTTATTGCAAAAATTATCATCAAGTCCTACTTTTCTCATTGTTATATGAGAGATAAGTCCTAGCTATAAATTTCATCTAGGACCAATAAGTCTTATTTTTAAAAAAAATATTATCTATTCTTTTAATTCTAGTTAATAACGACTTTAATACAGGAAAATAAACTTTTTATAAAAAAGTCAACAATATTTTATCTTTGTTTTTATTTAAAAAAAATTATATAATTTTGTAAAGGTATAAATGAAATATTGATTCCAAATTTTATATCTAATTTAACAGGGTATAAATGGAAGATTTAGTAATTTAGAATTTACAGTAAAAAAAATTAAAAGTTGAAATTATTGATCCCATAGGAAAATTATAGGACTTATATATGTGTCTTTTAATTAAAATTTTAGGGCTTGGCGATATTTTTTCCTATTTTTATTCCTATTAAAAATATGCCTTATGATATTCACTTTATTTATAAAAATATGCCTTGAGAAGTTGTGATACTCCTATTAAAAACATGTGTTTTTTTAGTTTTGACTTCTTCAAAAGTTATACACCCCACCCCCCCCCCCCCCCCCCCCCCCCCCCCCCTTTTTTATATAAGTTAAAAAGTTAATATACCCCATACTATTATTATTCCTCATTGAGTAGTACTATATAAATTGACATTGGTGGAATTTTTTTTTTTTTTCTTCCTATTTATTTCTTTCACGCTAATTTGAATTGAATCAGACCCTTTAACATGAAAAGGATTTAGTAGAATTAATTTGAAGTTGATTCAATTATGAAGGTTAAATGCACCAATTGTTTGGAAGACTAAAAAAATTCGATGGTGGCAAACTGGTTGCTACACTAATAATGAAATCATGTGTTACACACTATTTTTTGTGTCAAAGTATAATATTCACATGATGCATTTACTTAGACATAATTGGACTAAATACATTACTTGCACTACACTTGCATTTCACCTTCCTTACACATTACACTACGACCTTATATGATTTTACTTGTCTTGCACTGTAGCAGGGTTCATTTATAATATTCTATGCAATATTACAATATAATCTATGTTTTATATTTATTCTTTCAATATTTTTAACAAGGTATTGGAATCGGAGAAAAGTAAAAAAGATGACAAAACTCTTTCAGTTTCTGAGAAAGAACATACGGATATGGATGTAGGAACGGTAGATTCATGATTCACCAAAACCGGAAAGAAAGCTGCCCAAAAGGATGTCTCTCTTTCAAAAACTCTCTTTGTTGCCAACTTATCCCATAAGGTTGAAAAGATGATGCGGTGAATTTCTTCAAAGATGTGGGAGAAATTGTCAACATCCGTTTTGCATTTAACGGCACTACAAGAAAAATAATTTTTTTCCACGCTTTTTTTATCACGGTTTTAAAAAAAAACCGTAATAGAAAGTATATTTTTTACCACGATTATTTTAAAACCATGATAAAAAAATATACTTTATTTTTTATCATGATTATTTTAAAACCGTAGTAAAAAAAAATATACTTTCTATCACGATTAATCAAGTATATTCTTCTATCACGGTTATTTTAACCGTGATAGAAAATAAATTATTTTAAATATAATTTAAACATATCTTTCTATCACGGTTTTAAAATAATCATGATAATAATTATATTTTTTAGTACAATTTTACAATAACCCGTCGTAGAAAGTGAATATATTTCACTCAAAGTCTTAGTAATTTATTAAACCACGGTGCAACCACCGTGGTCGAAACTGAAATTCTGTAAGCGGGTCTTATACCCACTAGTTTCTTAAAAAAAAAAAAAAAAAATTCCAGCCTTTCAATTTTAGGGCAAATCATTTCAGCCTTTCAATTTTAGGGCAAATCATTTCAGCCTTGGCCTCCCCAATCGCCTCCATCTCTATTCTTGGTCTCAACTCTGAACTTGCCCTCTCTCTGTCCCTGCAACTGCAAACTACAAAATCTACAAGAATCAAACCCATATAATTCAGTTTATCTATCTGTCTGTAAGAATCAAAATTTCAAAACCTATTGCCTATATCAAAACCCATATCGGCATATCATTTCAGATTGTTCAAAAAATCAACACCCATATCCTTCAGTTTCCATCGCCCACTGTTCTAGTTCGAGTTCGCCGTTTGCAAGCTTCAGCCGCTGGCCCGCTGTCTCTCAACTCTCAAGCCCCTCTCTCTGCACTACTTAAATCTCTACAATCAATATATATATATATATATATATATATATATATATATATTGACTGATATATATATATATTGACTGCGTACTCAAACCCTAATCTCTCTCTTGACTACAAACATTCCTCATATCAGGTCCATATTCTGTTCCGCCTCAGCTCAACCTTTGCCCATAATCGTTCATCTTTACACCCTAGCCATAGCATACAATTTTAGCCGCCATCAAATCAGCAACTGATCGGAACAACGAATTCAACGGTAAAACCACGATTTTCATCAATGTACCTCTCCATTTAGCGCATCAGAAGGTTCCATTCTACCCATGGGGATTTTGATTCGTTCTTCGATTTGGGGATTTTGTAGTTTTGGTTATGTTGCATTTCGCAGAGGGTTTTTGCCTCTGATTTGCACTTCTCTTCGTGGTTGCTTTTGTTCGATCTTGGAGATTTCGGCCAAATCTCGTTGTAGGGTAAGCTTCGCCGACCCGAATTCGAATAGACAAAGGAGCAATTACAAGTTATCTTGGAGCTTTCGGCCAAATCGCGTTGTAGGGTAAGCTTCGCCGGCCCAAATTCGAAGAGACAAAGGAGCAATTACAAGTTACCAGTGAGTGTTTGGTATAAATCATTGTTTGTAATGAACTGAAGAGGATTTTTTTATGAAGAAAAAATAATTTACTTAGATTCATCAATTTTATTTGGTTGCAGGTTGTGAGGAAAAGGAAGAGGACATTGTTGTTGCTCGTGGTCTCTAGGAAGAAGAGAAAAACAAAGGTGAAAGGAAGGAAGAAAAAAGGTCTGGACTATAGGCATTTCATATCATCATCTTCAACTTGTCATCTAATTGGTAGGGATTTTAGTAGTTTAATTATGCTGCTTTGAGATAATTTCTATAATTGTTCCCATTCCTTTTCTATTCTGAATCCCATATTTGTTTACCATTAAATATTGTAAATGCTCAAGTTTGTGTTCCGTTCGGGAGTAATAGAGATCTAAACTGTGCATCAAGATAAAAGCATATTGTATAATCTTACAGGAACATGTCCTATTATTTTAGATTATCATGATACTTTTGCATTCTGTTTTCACATAGATGGTTTTTACTGTCTATCAATCTGAAATCTAACTGCTTTTCTGCCTTTTTTCATATTGTCTTATTTCTTTTATGACAGCGTGTCTCTTCTCACCAAGAAACAAATTAAGATGCCATTTATCAAAGTTAATTCCTTGGTTGTTCCTTCTTTTCTTTTTCTTTTTTTATTGTCACTTGGATCTAGCAAGTTGAGACCTGCTAAAAATTTACAAGCAATATCTATAAATAATATATGTACTTCATGTGCAAAATATATTTTAAATATCTAGGTGGACTTGGTGCAATTGCATCATTTTTTGCAACAAGAAACAAAGATGTAGGTATCACTCAATTTTGCTTGTTTTTCTTTCTCATTTCATGTATAATTCTTATCATGCTATTCTAGGAGATCCTCTAGCTGTTCGTTGATGCTAGATTCAGTTGTTGACTGAGCACAATAAACATAAATTATGGTATTAACTTTTAGCATAGTTCTTACATATATATATATGCTATTTTTTCCAACATGTAAAATTGTCATGAGGCATTTTTCACTCCTCACCTGTTTCCATATAAAATCATTGAATCTGAAAATAATCTGTCGGTGGTGGTCCTGATGGAGCACAATATCTTACCTTTTTGAATCCCTTGACATACTTAAATGTTTAAAGGTAGTTTTAGATATGAATTATTGCATTAGCATGCTATATAGCACGTCTGTATCCAGGACTGTCCTTTAGGGGTAAGAATTTATATTTTCAAGAGACTTATTTATTCCTTATTACTTAATAACAAAATATTAGGAGCATGAGATTATGAGTTAAATGAACAAACTATAACCAAGAACTGAAGCTTCCCTTCATCTAGAACAAGTGGCAAATTAGGAACTTGTCACCAAATGTAGTACAAAAACTTAATTCTAGAACTTGTCACCAAATGTAGGCTAACTTCCAGTACATTGACAATATTTTCCTGAAAAAAGATTTCCTTCTCCTGAAAATAGTCTCATGAATCCTAGTCAAAAACTTAATGGGTGAGTGGTCACTTGGAATCCAAGTACCAGCTGTCCTTTAATTCTAGATTTTATTATTCTTCAACAAAGATTTTGAATGAAATTAATGATCCCAACTTTTCTTGGATTTCTTTAAATGTTAAGTGATAAGAGATATGAGAGATAGCTAATATGGTCCCAAATTGAAGATTTTATACTAAATTGCTAGAATTACCAATATGCTTAGTCCAATGCATCAAGGCAAGGATGGTTCAAAAAATTCAGAGACTTGTACATAAAAAAAGAGAGAGGATTATTCTCAGCCTCCCAACCTTAGCAAAAATGCATCTTTCAGGCCCCATCCATGTGTAATTAAGCAAATGGTTAGAAGTCTCTATTGTGCAAACATTCTTCTGTTTCTTCTTCTTTTTTGACCACCACCATCCATGCCTTTTTGAGATGGCCATAGAGAATTTCCCTCTCTCATCCGTGAATAATGTTTATTTTGTTTGGTTTAATTTTTGCAACTTTACAATTTGCTTTACATTCTCTTACTTCAATATTACATTTTGTAGGTCAAAGTTAGGATTACGGGATTGCGGTTCCCGTTACTTTTTTTGTTGCCGTTATATTTTTTGTATGGCTCATGATCAAGAAGTTACATATATGGAAGAGAGAGACTAAAACAAAGCAAGAAGATATGAAGAATTTTTGTTTCATTTTGGTTAAGTAAAGATATAAGATGTGGATTATGTACTTCTTTGAAATTTGTATATATTTTTGTATAAAATCATGATTTGGAATTGGTTATATATATATATTGTTATTGGCCAAGTTATTTTGGTTATGATGTTATTTTTTATTTATAGGGTTTGCTTATGGGATCTTTGCAAAGCTAGTAGTAAGGCAAAAAAAAAAGGCCTCAAGAGGGCTTTACACTATTTTTTTTAAAAAAATTATATAACACTTTTTATTACAGTTTTGCACCGTGGTAAAAGACTTTTTTTCTACCACGGTTCTGCACCGTGGTAGAAAAAATACTTTCTACCACAGTTCTGCACCGTGGTAGAAAGAATCACTTTCTATCACGGTGCGGAACCGTGGTAGAAAGGCTGTTTCTACCACGGTTCAAAACCGTGGTAGAAAGCCTTTTTTACAGTGGTAAAAAATTATTTTTCTTGTAATGCAGTGAAATTTTTAAGGGCTTCGGCCTTGTTAAGTTTGCAACACGAAAAGCATCAAAAAAAGACTCAAGTTATATAGTGACGATTTTATTAGTTCGCCCTGCGACAGTTGAATTCACTGGGACAGGTAGCTCATACATGGATTTTTTCAGGGATGGCATCTAATTGACTCTCGCATCTAAGGCAGCGGTAGGGAGCTCCAACTTCGCGCCCTTTTTCGCAATTGTTTCCTATTTATTCTCTCTCAATATTTCTTACATTTTGGATCAATTTCGAAGGTCAATTGACTCGAGTACAAAATGAACTAGGTGTTGATCCTCATACACTTGCATAGCCCTCACCATCTAGTTAGTTTCTAATAGAGCAAATGGAACTCCAAGCAGACTTTTCTTTTTTATCTATTTATTTTTAACCGAATTCAATCAAACCCAGATTTCAGTAATAGCCACTTTATTGAAAGATGTTTTTACTTATTGAATTTTTTTTTTTTTTGTCACCTCTTATTGAATTTACTGCACTAAGGAAAATACAAAAGTCGTCATCAAATACCAAGGTTTTAAGTTCTATTACTTACACTGAATCAAAGATTAAGAGATATATGATTTTAAAGTCTATATTTTATAGTGTGTTTGTGCATTAAAAATTGGTTCCTAATTGGCAAAGTAGAAAACTATTTTTTTAACTAGTATATATAAGTATTTGGTTAAATATTATGATCAATTGGTTCAATTATGTAATTATGCATACTTTGTGATAACTATATATTAATAATTGAGATGAAGAAATATATATATATATATATATATATATATATATATATATATATATAATTATTTTTTTCTTAAGGAATAAAATAAGATATTTAAACAAATAAGTATGTAATTTTATAAATGACTTAGGAATTTTGTAATTCTAATATTGTGATTGCAAATATAATATTGTAACCTTATTTATCTCCTTAATATCACTGATGGTAGCATTTGGCGTCACAATCTTATCTTATGTTTGCACATGAGATTACATAAATTCTTTTTCCTATTATTGCATTTTCCTGCTACCTGTGACTTTGTTTGTCTACTCGCAATTTCCTCTCCTTTTGGATATGATCATTTCCACTTATGCCCCGACATTTTTCATCAGAGGAGTGATCGTATCCTTTTCTAGAGATGCAAGTTGAGAAAGAAAAAACATTAATCTTGTAACATTTGCTATCTGTATTAATTAAGCCCTTGAGTGAATGAACTAAAATTACTTTTTAGTAAGTTTTCATAAAGTCTGTTTTGCCACTCGATCATAAAGGTTACAGACAACCACCTTAATCTTCACATTGACTTTTGGTTTTGATATTTCTTGTATTTCCTCTTTTTTGTTAAATATAAACTAAAGATTACTCGGAAATGATTGGGAATTGAAAGGAGGGAAGAGGAAATGATAAGCTTTTGATATATTTGTATACTCATTAATCCAAGTATTAGGCACAGTCTAGTCTTTATTGTTATATAGAACGGAAGGAGTTCAAGCACAAAGAATGAAGTATCGCCACCTCACAAGGTTCTCAACCGGGGTCATGGTGCTTCAAGCAACCGTGGCAGAAATGGTGGTGGAAGGCACCATTATTTTCGATGGTCAAACAGCTCCAATGCCCCCTCAGTCTCGCATCGCCATGGGAATGGAAGGATGTAACAGAGGGTGTTGTTGGACACTTGAGGAAAAAGAAGTCTAGAACTCTCCATCAATTGCTGAATTCTGGAGCAACAAAAGGGCTCTCCATCACTAGAAGAAAATAAAATAAAAAAATAAATTTTTTTCTCTTCTCTGCACTAGAAGAAAATAAAATAAATAAATAAATTTTTTTTTTGATAAACGTGGAACCTTACTAAAGCAGGGCTCTTTGAATCCACCCTTAGAAGATAAATCACAAGGACACTAACGAGGTCCGAACACCACCCTCCAGACAAATCACGAACAATCGAAGAAGAGTATTGCCTTTAATATGCTTTCTGAGTGTCAAACTACGGACCCCCTCCTCAAGAGCATCTATCTCACGCCTCTACTCCAGTAGCAGCTATGTTCTCAGGTATGTTGATGTGTCCGCCTAGGTCTATGTGGGCCATTTTGACATCTTCTGTTCTCAGTTTTGCTCTTTTGGTTGTTTGGTTTGCCCTTAGTCCGATGGGCCTGATTTTCTTGTTCGGGCCTTGGGAAATGCCCCAAGTATACTTTTGTTATTGTACCCTTACTTACCCCGAAAAAAAATAATAATAATAAATAAATAAATGAAAACATGAAGTACAAGGTAAAAGTTAAAACTGGTATACAATTTTTTAAAATAAGTACAATAAAACTGGTACAATTTTTTTAAATAAGTGCATAAAAGGGTTGCTTGTAGTGCACTTCTATAAAAGAGTTAGCTTTTTTAAGTAGTAAGATTCTCTCAAGCTTCGTTTATTGGAAATCTAAATTGAACATCTTGAATTGTCGTATTGGGTGCTTGTATCTGATTGAATTGGAGGATTGATTTGCTGCACCTTAAATTTGAAGAAACCATTGAAACAATAAAAATTGAGCGATGGGTTGTTCAATTGGGAAGAAATTGAGTATTTTTCAAAATCGGTTTTGATCAATTTTCAATTAATTGAAGAAGCTTTAATGATATGATTGTATTTTTGGTCTAATCTTGAAGAGTACATTTTTTATCCAAAAGAGTGTTTTTTTTTTTACTAAAAACACCCACCAAGCAAGATACATTGTTATGTTGTGACGTATCAGTGTTATCTTGTGATGTAAGTTATTTTTCGGTCAAATAATATTGTTTAGGATTTTTCTACGGCCAAATACTTTGTAAGGATTAACTTTGTAAGGATAGCCCGCTTCATATGTTTTCAATAACACACTAAAATCACCATTGTTTTTAATAAAAAAAAAAACCTCATTTTAATTCACTTCTTTTGATTTTTTTATATTTCACAAAATTTATCACTTGATTCAAAATTTAGGCGCAACAAGGACCAGAACCAAAATAATAATAATCATAATAATAAATATGATAATTAAAAAAATCCTAAAATACTGAACCAAATAGGTCTTACGTTTCTCTTCTCTGCACTAGAAGAAAATAAAATAAAAAAAATAAATTCTTTTTTTGATAAACGTGAAACCTTGCTAAAGCAGGGACCTTTGGATCCTCCCCTAGAAGATAAATCACAAGGACACTAACGAGGTCCGAACACCACCCTCCAGACAAATCACGAACAATCGAAGAAGAGTATTGCCTTTAATACACTTTCTGAGTGTCAAACTACGGACCCCCTCCTCAAGAGCATCTATCTCACGCCTCTGCTCCAGTAGCAGCTATGTTCTCAGGTATGTTGATGTGCCCGCCTAGGTCTATGTGGGCCATTTTGACATCTTCTGTTCTCAGTTTTGCTCTTTTGGTTGTTTGGTTTGCCCTTAGTCCGATGGGCCTGATTTTCTTGTTCGGGCCTTGGGAAATGCCCCAAGTATACTTTTGTTATTGTACTCTTACTTACCCCGAAAAAAAAATATAATAATAAATAAATAAAAACATGAAGTACAAGGTAAAAGTTAAAATTGGTATACAATTTTTTAAAATAAGTACAATAAAACTGGTACAATTCTTTAAAATAAGTGCATAAAAGAGTTGCTTGTAGTGCACTTATATAAAAGAGTTAGCTTTTTTAAGTAGTAAGATTCTCTCAAGCTTCGTTTATTGGAAATCTAAATTGAACATCTTGAATTGTCGTACTGGGTGCTTGTAACTGATTGAATTGGAGGATTGATTTGTTGCACCTTAAATTTGAAGAAACCAATGAAACAATAAAAATTGAGCGTTGGGTTGTTCAATTGGGAAGAAATTGAGTAATTGAGAAATCGGTTTTGATCAATTTTCAATTAATTGAAGAAGCTTTAATGATATGATTGTATTTTTGGTCTAATCTTGAAGTGTACATTTTTTATCCAAAAGAGAGTTTTTTTTTTTTACTAAAAACACCCACCAAGCAAGATACATTGTTATGTTGTGACGTATCAGTGTTATGTTGTGATGTAAGTTACTTTTCGGTCAAATAATATTGTTTAGGATTTTTCTACAGCCAAATACTCAATTTAGATTTTGTACTTTTTATAATTTTATTTTTAGGGTGTTAGTTTCTTTTCGAGATTAGGTTTGCTCATTTTATAAAGTTTCAGAGTTAGTTTTGAGGTTGCAGTTAGTTTTCTTAATATTTAGGATTTTCTTTCATTATAAATACACATAATGTGGAGAGCAATTCACTTATTTAATTATCAATACATTATTAAATTTTTTTTCTGAATTTATCTCTTACTTTGTAGATTCAATGTTATTATTTTGTTGATTCAAAGTAATTTGTCGCATGAACAACCTTAGTTTCTGCTTAGGTGAAATTTCTGTGTTGCTTTTGTGATTAGAAGATGTGCAGCAACTTTACGGAGCAGGCTATATATATAGTGCATATGAAGCAGGCGGTTGAAGAGGATAACACGGGGAATCATGCCAAGGCTTTTTCCCTTTATATGAATGATTTAGACTACTTTGAGACCCATTTGAAGTATGAGAAGAACCCAAAGATTAAGGAAGCCATTACCCA